CACAATGAATACTGATTTCAGGGACTCAGTGAGCATTCTACCAAGATAATTTTATCTAAGACCTTACTTGTGCCCACTTTTTCTAAATAAATGGAAAAACAAAATTTTCCAGTTTATTCAGGTGTATATTTATTGAAATGGTGAGTAAGAGATTTAAAAATAAATCTACCCAGTTTATTACAGCATTATTCTAATAAAAGTTTCTTTAAAATATAATGTCTAATGTATAGCTATAAATCAAGAAAATAGAGAAATATTTCTTATAACATTAAATAAGATATGAGTATATGGAATAAAAAGGCTTCCAATTTGATGTGATTTTATAGGTTGCTGGAAAGTTCTCATTTCACAGATATGTTTTCCTACTGACCCAAGTGCCATTATTAGAGATTTTTTCCTCTTGATTTATTATTTTAGAAAAATACAAAGTAGGCCTCAAACATAAGCTACTATGCAAACTTAGAATAATAATATATTTGTAAAGTCTTTAACAATGACAAATATTCACATGTATTATCATATCAAACCCTAAAAATTACTTGAGGAGATTAGAAAATGCTTTATTCCAAATCTACAGATGAGAAAATCAAGACTCACATAGACTAAATGACTTGTTCAGAGTTATCCAGGTAGTAAATGGTAGGACCAGACCTACCGACTAGGGGTGTGGAAATAAGGCCTTTGGAGACAGAAAGACCTGAATTCAAATTTTGATTCTGCTATTTGTTTGCTATATGATATGAGGTTATTACTTAACCTCTTTGAGTAATTTTTATCTGTAAAAATTAAGAACAAGAACATCATAGAAATAATATAGGGACAATAATATGTATTAAAGCACTCAGTGTTAATGGTACATTATCATTTTGTTATTATTGCTCCATATATTGTTAATCGTACAGCTAGATTCCCTATGAGAGAAAGGAGTATAATGATAACTTAAAGGTAGGTACCATTTTTCCTTATGAGTCTTACATCTTAAACTCTAATATTTGCTTTCATTTTATTTTATTTCACATTCCTCTGTGAATCTGAATAATCTATCCCTCTACCACAAATACCTGTCTTGATCTATTAACTCTCTGACCAATGTCTACACAATTTCCAAGTTTAAACTGGAGTCATTTCCTCTTTTAAGCTTTCTTTGATGCCATAGGGTTGTTCCTATGGCATTCACGGAAAACATATTTATTTATATATATTTCCTAAGTGCCTCCTATGGTGTTAGGGAACTCTACTAGGACTACATGAGGGCAGTTCATAGAATTGAGTCTAGCTTGGTTTTTAAATTTCTGTCAGTTGTTCCTAAACTTCTGTATTTCACAGGCCTTGAGCATTTTTTTAAAATGAGGACTAACATAAAGTTTCCAACTTTCTATTTTCTAAGCAAGGACATAATAAATAACTGCTATTGACAAATACTATTAGTTTACAAAAGAAAAGACATTCTGATACCAAAATATATAATCTCAAGATTTTGAAAAAAATTAATAAATTAGGGCTTGTAAAAAACTTCATGGAGGGGTGGGGTCTGCATAATTAGCAACAAGCACTAGGGAATCCACTGGTTTACATATATTTTTGTCCCAGTTTCATAGTTCTTAGATGTTATTTCTTATTCAATTTTGCATTTTTAGTGCAATGCCACTGTTTTGTAGGAAGCAAATTAATGTTTATGAATGAGGCAATTAATCTACCTCTGAGTAAATACCTCTGAAACCCTGGTAATGCCTCGGCACAGAGCAGCTCTGAGAGGACACCCAGCAATGGTGAGAGCATGCTAGGGTGATGTGTATGTATGTGAAGTAATGTAATTTACTTCAGAAGTTTGCTAGATACCATTCATTCAGAAGATTGTATGCAGTTACTACTGAGATTGTCTTCTAGGGATCAGGGGAGAAGGCAGGCACAGGAAGTAAGAATTTGAGGCATATCACTGTAGAAGGAAATTTACTTTCTCCTGGGACAACATTTGTAAAAAATATTTCGTGTGATGTCTCAAGTGGATAAAGAATTAAAATAAGTACAGCTACTATATAAAACATTCATTGAGCATTTATTATGTGTATTTATTATGTGCCAGGCACTGTTCTAAGTTTTTTGCATTTGTTATCTCATTTAATGATTATAGCTGGGCATGGTGGCTCACACCTATAATCCCAGCACTTTGGGAGGCCAAGGCAGGAAGAACACTTGAGCCCAGGAGTTCAAGACCAGCCTGAGCAAAATGGTGAGACCTCATCTCTACAAGATTTACAAAAAAATTAGCCAGGAGTGGTGGTGCATGCCTGTGTCTCAGCTACTTTGGAGGCTAAGCCGGAAGGTTCACCTGAGTTCAGGAGGCCAAGGCTGCGGGGACGCATGATTGTGCCATTGTCCTTTAGCATGGGTGGCAGAGTGATACTCCAATTAAAAATTTAAAAATTACAACCTATTGTAATCACAACCTATTGTATGTATATATATTTCCTAAGTGCCTCCTGTGGTGTTAGGGAACTCTACTAGGACTACATGAGGGCAGTTCATAGAATTGAGTCTAGCTTGGTTTTTAAATTTCGGTCAGTTGTTCCTAAACTTCTGTATTTCACAGGCCTTGAGCATTTTTTTAAAATGAGGACTAACATAAAGTTTCCAACTTTCTATTTTCTAAGTAAGGACATAATAAATAACTGCTATTGACAAATGCTATTAGTTTACAAAAGAAAGGCAAACTGAGTTTTTTTAATTCAGAAAGGCAAACTGAGGCTTATAAAGATTAAATGATGTGCCCAGGGTCACACAATTAGCCAGTGGTAGAGATCTCAACTCTGATCTAGTTGTCTCTAGAGCTCACCAAAACTTTCAGGTCCCTTTCTAACCACATATTTCTGTGATGAGTACAGTTTTATATGACTTGGTTTTATTTTTAAAATAAATAGACAATTCAAATGTTTGTTTTTTTTCTAGCGAGGATTTTAAAACTGTCTGAGTACCCAGTTTTTGTAAAAGCTCTGTGACTATAAGCTTGTTCCTTAACCTCTTTGAACTTCAATTCCTACATCTCTAAAATGGGGATGAAAGCCTTTCTCTGTGTATTTTTGGGAGGATTAAGGGCCTGGATTGTAAAGGGGTTTTAATAAATGTTAATTCACTATGTGGCTTAATAAGATAAAATGATATTTTCAAATTAAATTCACATCAAATACTAGTAATAAAATGAAAGCAAAGAGATCATTGCCCTAGGGGATAAAGGTGCCTATATTTACAGAGATGTTTAGAGAACCACGAGGATTATCTTTGCTGCAGTCCTCATTTTAATGAAGAGCATAGAGATCAGTCATTTCAGCAAAGGAAGAAGTTTATATTTGATTTACACCACAGATGCACATTTTCAGCATCCACACATTCCATTCCTTGGCTAAAGATATAACAAGCTACTTCAGCAAACCTGATATTGCAAAACGAATGGAAAATGCTTAATCATTTAAAATGATATACCAAAGAACGGAAAGGCCAAAGCACCCACGTGCACCAATGGGGAATGTTAACCAGCAGGAAGTCTCCTTTACTTCTGTAAAGGCTGACGAATGACTTCAGATAGACAGGCAGGATGTAAAATGAGAACCATCTAGCTCCACCATTTTTTACAAACACATATAGAAACTAAGCTCACATATTTATAGTGTAATCTCTCTTTTTTTTTGATCATGGGTTTCACTGTCAAGTAGCTGGGATTACAGGCTTATGCCACTACACCTGGGTATTTTTTAAAAAATTTTGTAGAGATGAGGACTTGCTAAGTTGCCTAAGCTGGTCTCAAACTCCTGGGCTCAAGCAATCCTCTTGCTTCAGTCTCCCAAAGTGTTGGGAGTAGACGTGTGACCACCACATCTGGCTAATCTTATTTTTAGTAAAAGTATTGATCATGGGGAAAATTAAGTTGCAAAACAGTGTGTAAGATAAAAAATTGACGTTGTAAAAACAATGTCAAGTGGCACCTATATCTGAGTATGCATTTATAAATGTTTGTATGAACAGGGAGAAGTTATGAAAGTTTCATGCCAGGTTGTCACATTGGGAACCTCAAGACAGGTCACTTTTGTGGGACCTTAGGAGAGATTTCTGTTTCTTGATCATCTTTGCATTCCTTTGCCAAATGTAATGAACATAATATTACATTGAAATGAAAACATTTAAGGATAAAAAGAAAAAAGTACATTTCTTATTATTCATTCACTCATTAGTTAGCTAATTCCTTTATTATCCAGTATTTATTGAATCCTTACTGATGATCATTTAAGTACTCTTAGTCTTCTCAGTGAACTGTCCAGCCTGACTTTCTCAGAGGAGTGATGGCTAAATTTGGCTTTACTTGTGGGATTAGCAATGCAGTTTTGTGCTTTGTCCTAGAATCCTATCCTTGTTCCCCTTTGGAATTAACAGGATATATTAAATTCAAACCACTTGAAGTTAACTTTACTCCCTTCCTTTCCACCTATAGTTATTAAACTAGAGGGGAGGTTGATTGACTCCCAGCTTCCATTGAATTGTGGATGGCCATTGGTGACAAGAACATGGAATTTTGAGTCAAAAGGCCAAAGTTTCAGTCCTGACTTCTACTAACCATATATGTAATATTGTTATGCTACTTCCTTCCTTTTGAACGTCAGCACTATCTTCTCTTTTCAAGTAATAATACCTGTCTTGCAGTATGACTGTGAAGCTCAAATGAGATCAGATATGAAAAGTCTTAATAAATTACAAAGTGATGAATAACTGTATATTACTATTTATCCACAAAGAATTTTTGATTTTGCCTCCTAACAGAGGACAATGACACATGTTTACAATTATTTGCAGATTTCTACTCAAGGAAATGTCGATGTCAATGTTCCACCTATATCTGAGAATGGCACTTCGAAGCTTTAGTAAGTCTCAAAAACAACAGCTGACATGTTAGGTAAACATGATTTCTTCCTGGTAATGACAGCAAACTCAATTAACCAATAAGCATATCTGACCTGGTGTAGTCGTCTTCAACAAGCATGTGCTTTGGAATTGGTGAGTACCTTCCTGGAGAGATGGGTGGAAGGGAGGTTTTATATTCTAAAGTGCCATTGTTGCCAGAGAGTAGATGGTTTTCCATTGGTGGAGAATAAGCTAAGGGGTGGGGGAAAAAAAGGAGAAAAGAAACCTGTTATGTGGGTGACTCAATGTTTCATGTTATACTTTAGAAGCTGAGTCAAAAAATAAAAAGACTTTGCTACATGCCAACGATTCTCTTCTTCTCCAACAGGGAGGAATTGCTGTTTGTTTGCATTTAATATACATAAGCACATGGTGACCTTTAGGATGGGCATGATGTAATAATAGTTAAATCGGTAACCCCAGTTAGTACCATTAGGTGAAGAAAATAATTGGAGGAGAGATCAACACACACATTTTCAGAACGATGATTAATTTTCTATCGAAATAAAATGCTAGCTTTCTAATTATAGAGCGCACATTCTTTTCACATAATTAATATTCAATCATCAAAGCAAAAGGCTCTTAAGTAGCAGGTTCTTGTATGAGACTTTCTCCCAGAATATGTTGTACTCCCATGTCAGAAAGGTCAAGAACTCTGGCCTTTTTTTCCATTCCTCCTCCCTAATTAGTTTCCCTTTTAGGAGACTGAAAACACCTCCTTACTGGGTCTCCTGTTCCTCTCCCTCTCCTCAAAACCATTTTATTCATTGAGATGAAATAAACCCTCCTGGAATTCAGCTATGATTATACTATTCTCTTACTTAAATGCTCTCCATTGTCACAATGTATTGAACCTAGTATAAATGCTCCTCTTTGCCATTCTTAAAAATTGATCCATTTTGATATCCCCCTAACATGTCTTATGGTCGTCAAACAGCCTGTGTTTCCTGACATGTGTACCTTTGTTCCACTGTATCAACTACCTATAATTTATGTTTCCTACTCCATCTCAGATATTGAAATCTCGCTCCCTCTTCAAGACACAGTTCAAGTGCTATTCTATGTCTAAAGATTTTTCTGATCTTCCAAAGACAGATAATTTATCTCCTTTCTTTGAGTCCCCAAAGAACATTTATTTTTACCTTGCCCATGGCGAATACATACCTCTTTTTTTGCCAAATATTGCTGCTATTTATATATCTAAATTAGCCTTCCTTCCAACAAAGTTCTCTGAAGGCCATGATTGCATCTCCTGTGCACTCACATAGTACTTCAAAAGGTGTCTTGCACATACTGGTTATTCAATACATAGTTCTTGAATCGATTAGAAAATTTTGCTTTTTCTCTCTTTAACATTGACCTTATATGACCTTCATGAAGTGGCTCACAAACTTTTAAGGCTTATTTCTCTAAGTTCATCCAGTTTGGAAAACCCTGAAAGTTAAAATTCTTTCATGTCCTAAGGTAAGACTGATCTTAGCTTACTGCCAGCTTGAAGAAAAGATATATTTTGGCGGAAGTTGCTTTAGAGTCATCATTAAGAAAAGCAATAGCTAACGTAATGAGCAGGCGACACAATTATTCAACCTTTAAATTTCTCCCAAGAGAAACATCTAAATCTAAGAGAGGTTGAACAACTTGTTTAAGACCATAGCACTAATTAATGGCAGGTCCTAAAGACATTCTGAGTTCTCATTCTCACAAGTGGACTCTCAAAATTTCAGGATGAGCATGCTTGCAGACGCCAACAAAACTGTCCTTTAAATTTACATTAAAAAGTGAATTGCTTGTAAATATATTCCCCAAAGACAGAACTTTAGATAAGATTCTTGTTGATCTATTAAGATGAGGAGAAAACATGAGATTTGTGTATCAGTGGACTTTGTGAGGACCCCAGCACAATGTCTCATTAGTTGTTACTTGTTGCCCCAGAAGCCCCCACCTCCAGCACACCTCTGCTGCCATAGTGATGCATAATTCTCTCTGACTTCTTGCCAATATTACAAATTCAAGTACAGTAAGAGCTATGATGATGGTGATTGAGGGTCACATTTTCACCATTGAAGTGCGAGATCCCTTTCCTTTCTTTCTTTTTTTATTACAAAAATGTGGGGTAAAGTAGGATTAGGTACTTAAGTAATGTATGTGCAGGTAAAATTTGGGGTACCAACTGGTCCTCACTGGATCTGGTTTAGGATCAGGTAGACTATGTGTTGTTACTCGACCCCCGCCCCCTCCCCCCAGCAGTGTCCTGTAAATGCTGATCCCTCCCTTGTGCTATTGTGAGTAACGTTCAGGTCCCACTTATGAGTGACAACATGTGGTATTCAGTACAGAATCACCTTTCTCAGGAAGAAGTATAGAGCTATCTCTGGTCTACATTGCCAGTCTCTCTTTTCTAATCTACTACTACTACTCAGATCTGATCTAGGAAAAAAGTCTATTATGATACAAGATTTATTTTGCTTTAAGGGTTTGAGAAATAGCTTTTAAAAAATGTGCTGGCCACACAGTATTGTAATCACACTGCCCACAAATTTAAACCTTTTTCTAATGGACTTGCCAACTCATCAGGATGTCGCACCTTCAAAACATGAGGTACAGGCCTGAGAGGCAACCTGGGAGTGAAATGCAGGATACTCCCTTTGAAGGATTTCCAGAAGCTAAACAAGAGGGAAGGTACAGGCAGAAGATTTTGCCAATAGTTTTATAGGATTTTAGTTTTGCAAACCTGATATGCTACTTGAAGATGACACTGGTGTCATACTTACAGTGAGTAATATCAGGTGGACCATAAGGATCAGTCATATAAATAGTTGTGGGTTTGCCAACTTTGAGATAAACTACATCTGATGTATTCTTCAAAATTGCTACAGCCTCTTCATGGGTTACTTCTTCTAAACTGTAGTTGTTTACCTGAAAATGGGGAGAAAATCAATATTAGAATTAAAGCTATGTAGCTGAAGAGAAATATTCAGTCAGAAAGATACCTAAAATTATAACCCCATTTAAATATTAAATTGTAATTATTACTGTTCAGTATATATATTATACTTTAACAGAACAGATAGATTAATGGCATTAGTCAAAGCAGATAAGATACAGTCATTGATGCTATAAAACAAGGTTGTTTCTGCTTTCCTTCATGAGGAAGTGATATTACAAGGGAATTCAGAATAATATTTATGGGAATGGGAAATTGGGTTAAATTCCTTTCTTGTTATGCTATAGTTTCTGTGATTACATAAGTACTATGTACTCACTAAAGAAAACTAAACAACAAAGAAGAAAAAAAAATCACCCATAATCTCCTACTTAGATATTGCTCTTTAAGCAATTGTGACTGTATTATACACATTGTTTTGGAACCTGCTTTTTAAATTTAGAGAGACTGTTTGTCAATAGCATTAATGTATTTCAAAAACATGACCTTTGTTTTCTACAGACCGTTGTATCACATGACTATAATATGACAATTTAATCTCTTCCTAGTGAGTGTTAAGTTTGCTTCTAATTTGGTATTATAAGTGATGCTGCAATAAATCTTTTTTCTATACTTATGCACAACTTTTATACTTTTTTCAGATAAGAGTATCCATGTAGTATAATCACTGGACCAAACTATATAAACATTATTAAGGCTTTTGATATCTAATCCCGAAGAGCACTCCATAAAGACAAACCAGTTTACTTTGCACCCTTTCCAGTACTAAGAACCCATATTTCCCTACAGTTTCACCAAACCTGGATTTTCTCACTTTAAAAATCTTTCCCATCAAAATGTCATTTGACATGAGTCTATTTTCCAAGGAAGATAGAACACGGGGCTTTTCAGATGAGCAAGTTCAAGGGTACCCTATTGCCATCAGCTTTAACAGAAATATTCCTTTCTTTATAGAAAAAAAATTTTAAAAATTAGCCAGGCATGGTGGTGAGCATCTATAGCCCTAACTACTCAGGAGGCTGAGGTGGAAGAATTGCCTGAGCCCAGGAAGTTGAGGCCTCAGTGAGCTATGATTGAATTATTGCACTCTAGCCTGGTTAATGAAGTGAGAGGCAAACTCAAAAAATAATAAATAAATGAATAAATAAATATAGAACATATTCTCTGTACTATATAATTAGCATTTTAGTTATACAATATCTCACAGCACTGCTATTTTTCGTTATTATTACTATTTTTACTTCATGTTGTTATATAAATTCCACGTGCCAGTGAGTCCTTGGTAGTGTAGCCTAGGTTAGAGACCTTGAAACTGGAGGGAATTGAACTTGACTGATGTGTCTGAATGCTGACTGTGAGTTTTCCATTAAGCTGTAAGCCTCTCTAGAGACTCTTACATTTAGCTTCTAGACAAGAGATGTTCTCTTACAATAATTATGTATTTCCAGTGTCTGGCATTTCTTTTTTCATTAATCAAATGGTTACTGCATACCTGTTATGTTCCACTAAAGAAACACTGTTCTAGGTATTAGAGATATGGTAAACAATAAGAATGATGACAGCAATAATAATAGTATACAATTTATACAGAACACATTACATGTCAGGCACTATTTTAAAGTGCTTTACAAATATTAACACAATCAAACCCTCACAACAACTTATGAAGTAACTATCATCATTATCTTCATTTTACAGATGAGAAAAGTGTGTCTCTAAGAGGTTAAGAAACTTGCCCAAAGTCACTGATCTGGTAAGCAGAATTCAAGGCTAGGTAGTTTGGCTCCAGAGATGATACTCTTAACCACTCAACTATACTGTTTCTTCCATATAGACAAGGTCTGTGCCCTCATGAAATTCACATTCTAATAGGACACAGTTGTTTGCAGAATGAATGGATAGAATAATAGACTCATGCAGAGAGGGAGAACATAGAGGAACTACGGGTATGGAGAACACAGTTGATAATGGAGTCCTTAATAACAGAGAAAAAACAAAAACAATGGTAATAATAATAATAACTATCATTTATTTAACACTTCCATGCCATATATTTTGGGAGTGCCATGTCATTTATTTTCACACAACTTATCTTCACTATAGCTTTATGATATAGACACCAATCATTAGGCCCATTTTGCAGATGAGAAAAACTAATATTTAAAGAGGTTAACATGAAACAAAGAGGTTTCACACTGCCTCCAATTGGCAAAGCCATTAGTTGGATCACAAGCTTCCTTAAAAGATGAAAATATACTCACTCGTGCGCTGGTTCATTAAAAGCTAGGACTTATATAATCTGTTCTCTCACCCTTTAGGAGAATAAGGTCTCCTTCCAAACACTTATAAAAGTAACATAAATTCCAAAGTATTATGAAAGCTTGAGTAATCACTATACTTCTTGCTTAATCCAGTGGTGACACAATATTGTATCATCCTAATGTACTTACTGACTAGTCAAAAGATAAATAAGTGAAATAGAAAGTATCTTGATATAGCTCACTGTCATTTCAAAATCTTCTTATATATTTATTAATTACTTATTTTGGGGCAGTTACCACTTGTGCCTAGATAATGAATATTTACAAGGGATGTAAATATTCATTATATCCCTTGTCTGAAAGTATTTTCTCTTTAAAAAAATTGCTTAAGGCATCTCTGAATATTGTATATTGAAAAAACATGTATATTGAAAAAACAGAAGAGAAATGACATTTGGTGGCATATCACAGAGGGAATGAGAAGCCAATAAAAAAGACCCCAAAGCTAGAAACTAACTGGATTAGATTATAAGTGGCACCAATGCTATGTTTCTGACAGGGGCTCATTTTCTCTCTCCCCAGAGTTCAGAAAGTACACAGAGCATTACATTATCAGGGAAAGAGAGATGTGGTTAGTGCTTATTTAATTGTACCTTTTGCCATTTTGAAGGTGGGCAGTGAAACAATCCAGAAAATGTTACCTTCTAGAGTATTTTCAGAGAGTGATTTCGCTAACAGACTCTTAGACCACTAGGAAAATCTTCAGACTAGAAATCAGAAGTTGAGGAAAGGATAGAGGTGAGAAGTGGGGAAAAAAATATTGGGGGAAATAACAGTGGGAGTTTAAAATAATAGTAGTTCAGTCATACTTTGGTGGCTGAAGTATTAAAAATTTTACACAGATTTTAATCCTAGAACCGATAGTATTATGATATTAGCAACAGAATGTAGTGATTAAGAACACATTTTGAGTCAGGCAGCCTGAGATGTGGGTCCTGGCTTTTCCTAGCTGTACGAACTTATTGAACCTGGTAGGCCTCAATTTTGACATCTGTAAAACAGGAATGATAATAGTCCCTCAAAAGATTATTGGCTTACATGCATTGGCCTATATAAAGTGACAGGCATATTAAAGGACTTAATCAATGTTAGCTCTTGTCACTATTACTATTGACATTATTCATCTCCCTTCCAGTAAACAGAAATTCTTAGTGAAAATTTCGCTGATCATTTTCTTGTAAACATCTGTGAACTGATGAGTTTAATTAGGGTACTGCTGATGAGGCTTCTGTGTGGTCTTTTTACAAATTCAGAATAGTACAGGATTTGGACCAAAAAGTGTTCTTTTGTGCTGAAGTTGTCAAAATGTTTTTTCACAAAAGTGAGTCTGTTTGGGTTAATTATGTGTGTGTATTATCCTATGAACTCTCAATATAAAGGGCCTACAGCTGGAGCTGATTGTGTGTAGAGAGAAGGGATATTACACGATTGGCTAGGGGCTCTTGTCATTGTTTTGCATTGTCTTTTTTATTTTTATTTTTTCATTTGCATCAAGTATCTGTCTCTAATGGTGAACACTGAGCAACTGGCCTGGTTTCAAGATAGCAATCATGAGAATTGATTAAAGTGGTGTCTGTAGGGTGTACCACACAGAACGGGACATATGTGCAACCTGGCTATGTGTTTGCAATAGGAAAGAGGACTGAGGTCAAGAAAGAGAGGCTGGAGGTGAGATGACTCGTTCCCTCAAAGAGAGGAGGGAACACTGAATTTGAGCATGATTGTACAGAGGAGGGTAAACCAGCTGAAGAAAAAAGTACCCGGAGACTTGCAGAGAGACATGGCAAGTTTTGTGGTAACTCAAATGTGTATGCAAAATATATGTGATAATACAAAGGTGACAAGTGTAGGGGCATGAGAACGTGGTAATAGAGGAATGCATAAGGTACACATGGTGAGATACTGGCCTTTTGATATTCTTGTAGGAATATCAGTACGGTAGGATAAACTGGGAGGTGATTAGGGACATAAAGGTTACTTAAGACAGGGCAAGGAAATGTGGGACTCTAGAATCACTGGAAAGAAAATCATAAACTCTAAAGTCAACTTTTAAAAAGGAAACAAAGTGGTTGATTATTAGATTGGAAAATAAATTAAGAAAATGACTAATCCAGTGCAGTAATGGCAATGCCATGAAAATAAACATGCATAAACCAAGGACTGACATTAACAGCTATAATAAAATTTATTTGAAAAATAATAGATATTAATAAATAAAAGACATGTTAGCTATGGATATCTTTGGATTTTTTTTAACCTTTCAGGAATAAACATGTCTAAGTTATGGTTATTTTTACTCAAATAGTTAACAAAATTAACTATTTGAGTAAAAATAAAAACTTTAAGAAAGAACAGAAGCTAACTACAGTGGCCTCATTATGAGACACACATAGCAGAATCTCATGAGTAATGAAAATCAGAATGGGAAAGAAGAAAGTTAATTTCTCGTACCCAGTGAATAGACCTAAATATATTAGAAATAATAGTCATATGTTAAACCTTGTTGCTTCTAGAAATGAAGGCAACTTGAAATAATGAAAGTAATTTTGAATGTAGAATCAGTTCTGGTTTTACTTCCTAGTTTCATGAATTTGAGTCAGTTAATGTATTTACTAAGAATTTATTTTCTTATATACAAAGTGAGAATTATA